CTGGGGATTATTAATTCAGTCCCCCTACAATTGGATTTACCTGGCATGTCTTTGAAATATTTCTTCAAAGTGTCTTTACAAACACGTACAATCACAAAAGTGTCAGTCTTTTTTTTAAGAATTGTATACTTTTTTCAGCATGGGTTCATTAAATGGATCGAAAGTGGCAGTAAAAAGATTTATAACTTTCTATTCATCAAAAAATCCTGAAAAGTATCAAAGTATTAAGTATTAAGCAAAGTATTAATTATTCTCATGATAATGAGAAATGTTTCTTGAACACCAAATCCACATTTTAGAAGAAAGATGTGACGCTGAAGACTGGAGTAATGGCTGTTGAAAATTTAGCTACGCCATCACAAGAATAAATTCCATTTTAAAATATATTAAAATAGAAAACAGTTCTTTTAACTTGTAAAACTATTTCATAATATTATATCTGTATTTTTATAGCATAAATACTGCCTAGATGTGTCTACAAGAGGTTTCTTTTAAAAATATTTTAAAAATCTGACCTCAAAATTTTGAACGATAGTGTACTGCTGTGCATCTAAATTCAGGGTGGAGTTTTGAGCACAAAAACTCTCTTTTCGCTTCTCCAGTGTTCGGTAGTGTAGTGTGATGTTTTGTTTAGTTTTTTTCCCCGCAAACTCCCTCCGTCATTGTATTTATTTATATTATTCCCCTGAATTAACCCACTGTCAGTGCTTGTACTGCGTTTGCCTTGTCGTAGAGGATGAATGAAACCTCGCTGGATATAAATACACCACAGAGGTACCGAGTAAAAAAGGTGAAAATAACCGGAGGTGACAGAACCGGTTGGCATGTTTATGGGCACTGGCATATCTCAGGCTCCATCTCTCCTGCTTCATCACACCGCTCGCCCAATCTCACCGTCTCTCGCTCTTAACCCCGGATTACCGCCCTCGAGCGGGATCACAGCACCCAATCACAGACCACGGAAGGGATTAAGAGCGAGAGAGACAATCTTTCACGAGGCATTCTTAGAAAAATTCGTAAAGAACAGTCAGGTGAAATTCAGAGATAGAGAGACAGCAGGCAGAGGGAAAAAAAGAGAGGGAGGGTTGCCAAATGACAGAGAGAGAGAGCACTTATGCAAGCGAGGCATCAAAGAGAATTCAGTCAGACTGTGTTTATACGGCTCGCTCCGTTAATGCGGTGAAGAGTTATAATCCTGAGGAACAGCTGAGTGTTTCATCGTCATCATGCACATCCTCCAATCCCACTGCATTATCAGGTGAGACGCTTCTCCTACCTGTATCGCTCTACAAGCCTAGTCATGCTACTCGATCATGGAAGGAATTTGAAAGTTGTGATATCCAAAAAAAAAAATATATAGATAGATATTTCTATAAAATTATAAAAAGTTTTATTATAATATCAATATTTAATTTGATTAAATATTATTTATTATAATTTCTATAAAATTATAAAAACATTTATTAAAACTATAAACTTTCTATAATGAATGCATTTTTCCAGTTTTGCTAAGATCTAAAATATTTCATCATCTAGAAATTGCTTTTGTGTCCAAGTGTAATCTCTATAAATATATTGTATTCGCTATATTGGTAATATGATTGATACTGGTTATATTATGTGGTAGTAGTAGTAGTAATTTGTTGTTGTTGTTATTATTATTATTATTATTATAATTATTTAAAGTATGAGTGAATGGAAAAATCATAAAAAACCCATGGTAATCCATTGGTATAAAGTGTGGAAAACCTGCAACGGATGTTTTCCTGCACTCTAAAACATCAATGAATCTAATTAAAAATTCTCCGATTCCTATCTGTGGAGAAGGTTGCTCTAACTTCTTTTTTTGGGATCTTCTGTGATGCATCAGTCGACTGATTTTGATTCTGACTGAATGTGCAGATTTCTAAAACTTCTGAATCATGTATGCTGCTGCATCTGCACTCTCAGAAAAAAAGGTACAGAAGCTGTCACTGGGGCGGTAACTTTTTTTTAAAGGTCCACATTTGTACCTAAAGTGTCCATATTGGTACCTTAAAGGTGTATATTAGTATACCTAAAGTGTACATATTAATACCAAAAGGTGTACCTTTTCAAAAGTAACCGCCGCAGTGACAGCTTTTGTGCCTTTTTTTTCTGATAGAGTGAGAATTTAATGAGAAATATTTCATCAGTATCATCAGATCAGGGCGATTATGAGCTGGTTGTTTGACGCTTTGTGTGCAAAACGATAGATGCTCATTCCCAGCTCGTATCACGGTATTACTGTGCAAACTGCAACCTGTCCTCTCAGGTGTTATAACGGTTGTCCTCTGTTCCTTTAATGGGGAAGTTGTGTAGCTCTTCCATTTGGATCTGGAATAATTGATGTTTCTGCAGAGAGCAAGTGCCAACTTGGCTGTTATTTATTTATTTATTTGATTTACCCCTCCCATCCATTTCTGACTAGGCAGAATCCTCTGAGGTTTCTTTTATAGTGAGTGTCAGAATGGGAAAAAAAGCCCTTGCTGCTTTATCTTTCTTATGCCTCTGTCTGCTCATCTGCCTATCTTTCTATCGCACTGTATATCTGTTTATCTTATGACGGGATCTTTGCACATTGCTTTTGCCATGATGGAATTGATTAAATGAATCTTGTATTCAGTATTGATTACATGAGGTGTGTGGAAGAAAACACTGTTGCCTGTCTGAAATGTGAAATCTGGGATGCCTGTGTTTGATTTTTGTTTGTACGTTTGTGTTTTCTTTGTGACAAGCATGTTCTCATGAGAGCAGCAGATGATTGACAGTTGTATTGGTAAAACCATCCGCAACAGAAAATCAGAGTGATTTTGTCAAAGACAACGCGGCTTTAGAGTGACATTTCCGTGTGCCTGAGCGAACGAGAGGGAAAAAAGTCTAGAGGCTTCTGTGTCCTGACTGAACCTCAGTCAGACATATTAAATGACGTTCCACAGCTGCAGAATCAATACAGCAACTGACAAAAACAATGTGGCAAAAGAACACACAGTATTAGACTTTAAACCTTTTATAATCTTTTCCCCATGGCTTTGAACAAAGATGGCCTTCTTTGTGTTTATGTGTGTGACATCACAGTGGCTTGAGGGAGCACATCACATGAACCTTGTTTTGTGTTCTCTTGGTAATTTCCAGAAGATTCTATCAACTGAGAAAAGGGCAAACTCAAGACACTAACAAAAAGTACTATTGGGATACTTAAAGTGCCTTAGCATACCATGTAAATACTATAGTACATTATAGTAGGCTAGCAAAGTGCTACAGTATTACTGTATTACCTGATACTGTCCCTCCACAGTATTTTTGTAAGCATAATGGCAGCTGTTACATTATGTAACAGGAAAGATGTCCACCTCTACAGTTTTGATGTTTAAATTCATTTTTTATGCCTTTTTACGGACTTAACGGCAGTGTTTTTTTTCCTTCAAAATCCAGCTCATGAACTTGCATATACACATATTAGTATCATGTGGTGTTCGCTGAGGTTTAAAACAGGTTAAAAATACATCTTTTCAATGTATATTTAAAGAGGCTAGCATTAGCATTAGCATTAGCAGTGGCAAAGGCGTTGAAGGGGCGTTGAGAGACTAGCACCCAATGCTAACAGATTTGCCTGCATTATTTGGACACTTTGTTACATAACACTGCTTTCTTTCTCCCAGCATAGAGCTGAGCCACTCCAGCCCTTTAATCACTGCCAGACTCGATGTAACCGGAGACTCTGGCGTTCACACGTATATGTTGCTGGAGGTCATAGAGTGGCTGTATTGTTAAGCCACGATGTCCGGCTGTATAAGTCAGATCACTGTCTGATTGGTAGTTTCACTGTCTCATTGATACTTGCTGTATTGCATCACTGCTCATTTGCCCTGCTCAGATTTGTTACATCTGCAACTCTCTCTGTCACTCATAATTCTGGAAATCGCCAGCTCTCATTGATAATTAATGATGTTCAGTCATTTTAGTGCTGAAAGTCTGTGTCAGTGTTCCTGCCTCTTCAGTCATAATGGGTGTTCCTACTGCTGGATGACCTGATGTTATTAGTGGGCTGCAAAACTGGACATAGTTCTTGAGAAGTTGATCAGAAGTGAGGTATATGAAAAATTTGATGTCATTTTAAAATAGGATCATAACAATGCATCATTTTTAGAAATTACTTCCAGACATTTTTTAATTACATAAACACATAATCACTCTTAATGTTTTTTTTTGTTTTGATTTTATCGTTTTTTGTTTTGTTTTGGGTAGTATTCAAAGACAATAATCTGTGTTATTGTATGATTTTTAAACCTGATTTTATTATTATTTTTTAATGAATAGTGGGACTACTTTTTAAAATATTCAAAAGCCCTTTTATTTATTTTTTTATAGTAAAATCACATTGAAAATGACTTCCTGACACTTTATCGTGGTTAAATCATTGTTTTTCAATAGTTTGGTGTTTTATTATTATTATTATTATTATTATTATTGTGATGATTTACATTGTTTATATTCGGGAAGAGTCTTTTTAAAGAAGAAAAAATATTTTTATTTCAATAATTACTATTATTGTGACAGCTTCCAGTTGCTAAATCACTGCTTTTGTTTATATCTTGTGCTTTGGGCCTTTATCATTTTATTAGGTATTTTGAAATAAATTAGAAAGTTGAAGGAAATTATTAAGAAGAGAGAAGGTGAATGGGCTCAGTCAGTCTTTTGCAGTCAGGACATGAATGTGTCAGGAACACGTGCACCGTGGCTCTGAAAGTTGCCTGTATTTGCGACCTTCTTTTTTGTGATCCTCACTCCCTCAGATCAAAATGACAGGGTTGTCATGTTGTTGGAGCACTTGGTGCTGAATGTGTGCTGGTTAAAAATATAAAGTGATACCACAGGGAATTGCAGCCATCGAATCAGCACAAAGACTTCCTGTGTGCCATCTTTGTTGGATGTACTAATATCATCCTCTTTCTCTCTGTCTCTCTCCTCTTTTTTTACAGGTGGCTCGATGGCCCGAAAAGGAAGAGAAAGAACAGTCAGTGTTTGGTGAAGAGCATGGCTGGTAAGATGTCTCACAGAAGACACGGATGTTCTTGCGTAGAGCTGCAGCAGTATGCTTACCCCTCCTCTGTCCTCCCAGAATGCATCACTGACTGCACATTTCTGAGAAACACACGAGAAACCCAGAAGGAGAGAAGGGTTTTCAGTTGCCCCGTGATCTTCCTCTAAACAACTCCAGCATCAGTTAGCTCTCAATAGACTTGTTGTTATGTGATGTTCTGGCGATACTCCTTCAGGATATCATAACTCATGTTCAAACAATCGCTCTCCCAGGCTAATGGGCTGTATAAGGATTGGCTTTGTATTAGTGTAAGGAGTGGCTGTTCAGCTGAGGAAGTTCAATAAAGTGGTTTGATGTTCAGTACATTTACTCTGGACACCCCATCTCTGCTTGGTTTAGACCCATCAGGCCTCCAAGTAGCCGCACTTTTATGCCTGTCCCTGCTGCTCTGTCTCATTCAACTCGTGCCCACAGCAGCCAAATAAACTAGATTAGTCCCAACATCGTCTCTAACCTTGTAGTTTTCTAATGCTGGTGCTGTCACATGCACTTGGGAAAGAAAGACGCTAGAACAGTGTGGTGTAAGATTAACTATTCCACGCTAACCTACACTGCTGTTTAGTGTTTCATTTTGTACAAAGGATACGTTGTTAAAAAAAGAATGACAATGAAGTAGTTTAAAACAAGTCTACAAAACTTATCCCAGTAAAAATGCCATATTCACATAGCCTGTATTTTTATTTAGCCCTATATTTTAGTTTAGAGAATGGTGAAAGAAAAATAGCTAGTACTTTCTATTTTTGACAAAAAAATAAAAAAAAAAGATTTAAAAACAGATATGGATAGAATGGAAGATTAATCACACACTGGATTTTGTATTCTAAATTTATGCTAAGGGTTTTACTGAATAAAACACTTGTAGTGAGTTAAACCCTTAAAACCTACAAATATACAGTACATACCAGACCTAAAGTCAGTGAAATAGGTTATTTATTTATTTATTTTTCTTTTGTTCAAAAGTTTGGTGTCAGTTTTATCCAGAAAGGATGCATTAAATTGACCAAAAATGGCAGTACAGACATTTGAAAGATTACAAAAGATTTCTGTTTCAAGTAAATGCTGTTTTTGCAATTTCTATTCATTAAAGAATCCTAAAAATGATCACGATTTGAACTGAAAGATTTGAATTGAACTGTTCAAGATTGATAATAATAATGTTTCTTGATTACCAAATCAATTAGAATGATTTCTGTATTAATAGAAAACTTTTTTTTTTTTTATTGTAGTAATATTTCATAATATTACACTTTGCTGTTTTTTTTTTTTTTTTTTTTTTTTTAAAAAGACGTGCTGTGGGGATAGTCTGGAGCGCAGAAAACACCCTCTCAGACATGTTGAATCCACTCACTGCTTAAAATGCAGGTGTTTTGTTCAGTGCTGCTGATCTCTGCATGCCCGCGAATCCTCCACTCTGTTCTCAATGTAAATAAGAGATTAAACGTGCTGAACTTTGTGAGATTGCGAAGATGAGTGACAGTTTTTTTTTTCACATTCACTCACGGATTCACTCTCTGATAACCATTTATCTAATAATTGCTATTGTGTTGCATTGACTACTTCAGTTAACTAGAGAAAATGAGGCAGGTGCTCGCTCAGCAAAATAGTCTGTAGGCATGTGTGGTTGCACGTGTGGAGACGCATCCGATGCAACAATACCATTTTTTCAGAACCGATCCGATCTGATACCGAAAATTCAGAGTATCTGCCGATACTGATCCAATCCGATACCAGCGCAGTTTTTTTTTTAAAATCAATGTAGAATTTCTTTACTTCTCTGTGTTGACCTGATCGTCACTCTTTTGTGTCTACTAAATATAGACAACTTCATTTTAATGAAAAATAACAAATGAAAAAATATATAATCATAATCTATGACAGAAGTACTATTATTATCTAGGTTAGTGGTTAATTCAGCAGCAGAAGATACTCTAGATTTTTTTTTTTTTTTTTTTTTATCAAATAAAGCCTTGGTGAGCATAAGGGACTTCTTCAAAACCATTTGAAAAATCTTACTGACTTCAAACCTTTGAATGGTAGTGTATATTTAGTAAAACAGTGGGCAGTGGACTATTTCCCCATTCTGTAAACCATAGCATGTACCACAATCATTATTTTGTTTCTTATCAATGAAAGTGCTTCACACATTTGCATGGAGGCAATTAAGTAGCTTAAGATGAGAGGCCTGACAGAAACACTGGCGGATCTTAATTACTGTCAAGTGACACTCTCAGAGTCACTCAGGGCTCTTCAGGGCTTTCACCAATTAAGATTAACAAGAATAGGTCTTAAATAGGTACTCAGATAGTTAATATACACACATTTTATGAAAAAACAATCTAAAAATTACTAACAGCTTCTTTGCATATTAAGCTAGGAACTTTTTTATAATAAGTATTTTTTCTGCTGCTGATATACTGATGTCTGTACTTGTTTGTTGCTGTGAGTTAACATTAGAGTTTTGTGTGTGTGCGTGTGTGTGTGTGTGTGTGTGTGTGTGTTTGGTAGGGTACATCCCCAGCTATCTGGAGAAGGATGAGCCATGTGTGGTGTGTGGAGACAAAGCTACTGGCTATCACTACCGCTGCATCACCTGTGAGGGCTGTAAGGTAGGACATCTCTGCTATCACTTGTGCACAGTGACATCTGTTAACAGACATCTCAGCCCCACATGTATATTTGCAGACTAGACTGTCACTTCACGTAGAGTCATGGCGTGGCACAGGTCTGATATGTTCAACAAAACATCCTATAATTCTAGCCTAAAAATAGTGTCAACCATCTTATCCACTGTTTGTCTTTATGTTCATGAAAGGAGTGAATTGTGAGTGACATCTGTGCTGAGAAAGTCTTTGACTGTGATTCCTGCCTAAACAGGCTGAATTGAAGAGTTCTCAGAGCTTGCGAATTCCATCACTGCAATATATATATATATATATATATATATAAGACAAAAAAATTTCAATTTTCTAATCAGACTTTGGTCTTGTTTGTCAGTAAAATATATAAACATCCTTAAAGTTTGGGATGTCAACACTGTTGTACCCAACCAAGTGTTGACTGACAGCACCTGCTTTCTAGCTCTCACGTTTGCACATGTGCTCTGTTTATTTTAATTTTGTTTTGTTTTGTTAGGAATTCCCTAGGAATGTGTTCAAAAGTCTACAGTATTAGTTTTTGCTGTGGTATTGAATTTGGTATCAAGACTAAATCTCACTGATGTTTTTTTTTTGACTATTGAAATGTTAGCATTCTGGCAACTCTACTGAAAAAAAAAAAACTTGGGAAACAGAATAGCATAATTTTTATGTTTATTTATTTTAATTTTATTGTATTGTGTTTTTTTTATTTTTTTATGTAATTGTTTTTTTTCTCAATAGAATATTTGCTTTTGCTGTATTGAATTTTACTGATTAAGACTAAATTTGACTGATTAAGACTAAATTTTACTGATATAGTTTTTATTGAATACTAAAACGTTAGCACTTTTTGAACCCTACTGAAAACACAAATTTAATTGGGGTGAAAAAGTGAAAAATCTTGTTTTCAGAAATTATATCTTAAATATATTTGTAATTTATTTTTCTCATATCATTGGCAAATAGTTGTTGTTTTTTTTCCTTGTTTCCTTGTATCATACACAGTATTGCTTTTTAAAAGGATATTTAAATATTTTTACAGCAAAACAAGACAAAAAGGCTTTTGCAGTCCACTTGCTTATGTGGGACAGGAAGCACAGTTTGTGACAGATAACACTTGTCTGACTCCCTGCCTCTGAATACACTCCTTATCCTCCTCACTCTCTCTGTCTCTCAGGGATTCTTCAGGCGCACCATCCAGAAGAACCTCCACCCCTCTTACTCCTGTAAGTACGATGGCTGCTGCATCATCGACAAGATCACCCGCAACCAGTGCCAGCTTTGCCGCTTCAAGAAATGCATCGCCGTGGGCATGGCCATGGATCGTGAGTAACCTTGTGCACTCTCATGCAAATAACATACAAAATCCCGAACATGCAAAACCGCACACAGACAAATGAAAACGCATGAGGGGACCTCAAGTCTCTCACTGTTCACTGTTCACTGATCATCAGCAGTTGTCTTATATCTCTAAAAGTTGTCCTAAGTTAATATCATTTGTAATGAAAAATTATTACATTACGAAAGAATTCAAAACAGAAGCATTTGAACTTCTACGTCAGACGCTTGGACCTCACCGTACTGGATCACGAACGCAGCCCTGCTCCTAACATACACAAACACATGCTGACAGCGAATGTACATTAATCTTATGCAAACTGAAGTCTTAGTCTGGGGTTCCCCTTACATATGTCCATATGCCTCACATATGTAAAGCACATGTTCAACCCAGACCACATTTCTTCTTCCTCTGTCACTCCCTCTCTCTCCCTCTGTTCTATAATGTTTTATGGATGTCTCGTTTCTACTTTGATCCCTCCCCGATGCTCTTACTCGTTCTGTCACCGCCATTCTGCACCTCAGAATCATTTTGTTATTCGGAATTTGTCTTGTATTCCAGGAAAAATGTCTAAACATCTTTAAAATTAAATGTAAATGGAAAAGCCACTTAGAGGACCATAAATAAAATTGAATAATGTGTTTTATGCATCGTGCGAGTGGAAGAATTAACCCGTTTTTCTCCTTGGTGTAGTGGTTCTAGACGACTCCAAGCGGGTTGCAAAGCGGCGCTTGATTGAGGAGAACCGTGAGAAGCGGAAGAAGGAGGAGATGGTCAAATCCCTGAAGACTCGGCCAGAACCCACCAGCTCAGAGTGGGAGCTGATCCGTATGGTGACAGAAGCTCACCGCCACACCAATGCACAGGGCTCTCACTGGAAACAGAAACGCAAGTTCCTGGTAAGCAAGCACCTGAAATAAATAAGTCTGATGCATGAAAATTACTTAATTTAAATTTAGCTATATAGAATTATTTAAAAAGCTTATGAAAATGACAGAATCACATAACAATATTTATTAATAAGCACATACATATACATATAAATATATAGGTTGATAAAGGAGAAAAAACTTACTTATTTTATTAATTGTGTTTTATTTCTGTGTGTCTGCTCACTACATTTTATTTTCTGCTTAGCGCATCGCTATGGCCTTTTCTGTCAGTAAAGATTAGCATTTGTTTACACAGCTTGCTAATCAATGTAATGAGTGACAATACCAGTCTGCTCATATCAGTTGTGACCGGGCAACAGCGAGCGTTACAGCAACTGTTAGTGACGGGTATAACAGGAATGCAGCGTTGCCATGCAGGGCCTTTGTAAAAGCGCCTGTTTATGAAGAAGGAAGGAAAGAGAGTTTAGACAGTATTAATCGCTCATTTTCTCAAACAATATACCACCCACTGTGAATGGTGGCAGGATAAAGGAAGAGAAAATGGAATAAAAGAGTTTAGGAGACACGCAGACACACATGCTTTGGATATCTGAAAGACTTGTTGATCTTAAAGAGAAAGAAAATAATTAAATCTGTTGGAATTTTCTCACAATTATATCTTTCCAAACATTTGTCTTTTTCTTCTGTGAATCATAGGGGTTGCACCGACTAATCGACTAGTCGACTTCAATGCTTTGCCATGACGCTTTAAGCTTGACGTCGACTAGTCGCTGGTCCTATAGAGGGCGCAACAGGATAAGAAATCTTTGAAGGACTTCCACATTTACGCTCCGTTTCCAAACAGTTAAAATGACAAATAAATGCATAATCTGAAGGCGCTCCACAAGACATGTGTGATTATATTACTGGATGCTCGATCGATATTGAACAGGAGAATGCATGTTTTAAACAGCTTATTGTACAGGTATTCAATTTTTCCTTTCTCTTTGGAGTTCTTTAATGACGTCATCAGCAACTAGTCGACTTCGACTTGACTTTCATCACATAAAAGTCGACTTTAAAAAATCAGAAGTCGTTCAACCCCTAGTGAATAACAAAAAAAAGTATTTGTTTTTTAATGTGGACCAGTGTTGATTTGGAACACATTTACTTTCATTGCAAGAACAAAATCAGTTCTTCGAAATATTCTTCAAAATAGCTTACAAACATTCAAGCGAGCATATGCACAATATCCGAGCATGTCTTACTAGCAGAAGGGGTGATTTGGAAATTCTACATCGTAGAACCGATGTTGGTTTTCTCAACCCACCAAACACCCTTCATCTTCCCAGTGGTTACGAGCGCTATCAAAGCCCTGACGCACACCAATCTAAACATTCGGCTTGCACTAGACCCTGTGACGATCAGCCACGGGGGACAGAGAAACCACTTCCCCGGCCGACTGAGAACTCCTATAAAACGGCCCATAAAAAATGCAGCCTATATAACCTTTACAACCAAGATATGCCTCCAATAACAGTGCAAGGCCGAGACCCTGAATGACCCCGATAAACTGCATTCTCTCTCTCCATGGGAACACTCACTCTGTCCTGTCAGTAGTCCAACTGGGCTGTCTTAAGATCTCTGGAGTGAGAAAGCGCAGTGCCAAGTTCTCAGCAGTGAGAAGGCCAGGGTGGACCAGCAGAGGGGATAGTTTACACTGGGGTCTTACAGGCAAAGGCTGCGTTGGGACGTATCCAGCACTGCCCCCACCTCCTGAAAGAAGAGACACACACACTTTGGTTCATGCTTGTTAAAACTTACACAAATACAACAGTGCGGCACAGTTAAAACAGCCCTTTTCATCTGGGACAGCGGATGTAAACACAAACACACAAATCTTACACATAGTTCCTCAGAGGCACATTCTGAAACCCTGAACAGATTCCTTTGTGTTTTATTTACTTTCTAGATCTAGACATCGCCTCTCTGTGCGGTCTGTGATAGGGTAGTAAGAAAGGGTAATATTAATTAATTAATATTAAGAAAGAGTAATTATTTGAACCGCTTGTCTGTCACAGATGAAGCGTCCCGAACCTTTTGCTCTCGCAGCCTCACAATGAAACAGAATTTGTTTGTGTGTAGGCCAGCACTACCATTTTTTCTGCAGTCTTGTCTTGATTTCAGTGTCTTTGTTTATTGTCTGTTTGCTTTATCAGAAACAAAGAAATCAATGTGATTGCACAGTTTGAAGTCTTAGGGAGTGTCCACCACATGGATATGTTTTAAAATGTAAATTTTTAGATGGGGTTGTTTATCCACACACATGCTGGTTGTGACATTATAAAATTGCTTAGGCCATGGACAGATTCATGTTATGTTATGTTATGTTATGTTATTTGTTTGTTTGTTTGTTTGTTTGTTTATTTATATATATATATATATATATATAAACAGTGCCTTGCGAAAGTATTCATACCCCTTCATTTTTTTTACATTTTGTTATGTTGCTGCCTTATGATAAACTTCTTTAAATTAATTTTTTTTTCACATCAATCTACACTCCATACACCATACTGACAAAGCAAAAACAGAATTGTCACAACTTCGTAAATTTATAAAAAATTAAAAACTGAAATAAGTACATTGCATAAGTATTATTAAGTATAACTAAATATTTAGCTGAAGCACCTTAACAGCCTCAAGTATTTTTTTGTTTGATGCGACAAGCTTTGCTCATCAGCATTTTGCAATTATCTGCCATTCTTCACCTCACCTGTTCACCTCTCAAGCTCTGTCAGGTTGGATGGGGGCAGATGCACATTTTCAGGTTTCTCCAGAAAT